GTGGGTCCCCCGGGATTTGGGGGGGGTGGGATGAAGCGGCTCTGCAGAAGGGGACAGCTAGGAGGGCGGGCGGGCCACACGCAGCCAGGGAGACCGCATGGAGGGGGACGCTGGAGCTCGGTGGCTCTGAATGCCTGAGCCCGGGGAAGGGGCGCACTTCCGAGAATGCCACGGGGCACCCACGGGCGGAGAGGCGGCCAAGGAATCTCAGCGCCTAAGTCTCCTTTCATTTTCATTAACACGTGTAAATTTCAGAAACCATTTAACTTGCAGGGACCCGGCCAGAGCTCGAAACCTTGAAGGGGGCTTGATCCGGCGCACTGGGGGGGGGGGCGCAAATGCCCGAGGGGGTAACCCTAAACGTTAGAGGGATTTCAGTTTAGCATGTGCTGCTTCAAAAAATAAGATAAAGTAAATGCCCGAAAATTCCAGCAGCAGCCCAAGATGGTGGCCAGCATTTCCTCCATCCCGTCCTCGCGCCTGGGGGGTCTGCCGGCTGTCCTCCAGTCTTGACCATGGCGCCCTTGCCGGGGTCTCCAAGTCCTTCCCCCCCCTTCGGGCAACTGAACAGCTAAAACGACACCTCCGAGCAGGAGGCTTCAAGAACCCTGGGCTCTGTCCCATCTCATTTTTAAATAAATAAAATAAAAAAGCAAAAAGCTGGACGCAGTCTTCTCTCGAGCTGAGACAAGACCCCCGGAAGCTTCCTAACTGGTTTTGTTGGGGGTGTGGACAGCCCGTCACCTTTAGAGTTTGCCCTGGGGTTGCACTCGTGAGCTGAGGGGGTGGGGGAAGCTGAGGACAATTACAGGTTCAGGTAATGGGTTTTAAACAAAATCCATACCTGTTGTGGTTTTAGGAGAGGGCCCCCAATATGATCGTAGAGCCATGTAAAGGAATAACGTGTTTTTGAAATGATAGCTCCCCCCAATTTGGTGGCTTTTTAATAGACATTTCACCCCGTTTTAACTTTTTGCACTATCTGCCGCAAATTAAGGAAACTGGTGACTTAACCCCCGATGGACAGAACGCCGTGAGCCCCCCGAAACTGCAGATAGAAAAGGGTCACAGAAAATGGACGCAAAGCCCCCACCCTCTTCTCCAGCGCGCGAGCAGCACCAGGCCCCCCAGCTCCTTCCCCAGAGTGGCGCCCCTCCCCCACTGGGAACTAGGGTTACTAATATTCCAGGGCCAGAAGGGTGATGACCCCTGAAGCCTCGGAAGCGGTGGGTGGCCCGAGCCCGGGGCGCCCACCGCCGAGAACCCCGCCCGGGCACCCACG